TTACACACATACACATGCACACACTCATTCTCACACATACACTTCCTGCACCAACCAGACCTTGCCACCCTGGGAACCAAGTGAGTTTGGGATGCAGCCTGGCTTGTGGCTGTCCTGGCTCTTGGGCATCCCTGCTCCCCCCTCCAGAGTGCCACGACTCTCACTGGCTTGGTCAATTGTTCCTGGCTCTTACTGAGGGCCATTTGGGGGCTGGGCACTGTTCAGGCAAGTGGAGCAAGGGAGACGAGGCCCCATCTCCAGGGGACATGCAGCCACATCCTCTTGCTGGACAGGAACTGTCCTCTGAGTCTGGGGTCCCAGCCTCTCCACACCCTCAGCATCAATACTTCACTCTGCTCCACCTCAGCCACCCCAACGGGGGTCCCAGCCCCTGCAAAGCAGGCAGTCGGCCACCTGCCCCTGTTCCTGCTGGCACCACTGCTCACCATGCCTCCACAGGGCGGTCCACAGCTTACAAAGTTGAGCCAGGTCACAGGGGTGGGAAGATCCCTTGCTGGAGGCTATGTGGGGGTGCAAGGGCAGAAAGGTCTGGATGCTGGGCATCTCTGCGCTCCCTTCCCCTCTCCCTCTCAGGGGCATTTGGACACACCTGGTCACACTTCCTCCTTCCTGAAGTCCTCTTCCACCTGGTTAATGAGGCTGGGCTCTTCATTCTCCTCCTACGTCTCTGGCTAGGGCTTCTCAGTCTCTTTCTCCATAGGTGCTGCCCTTGGCCTCAGCCCTTCATGCCCTTGGGAGGGTCTCACTCTCAGGGCTTAAATGACTAAATATATGTTGGTGACTGTGAAACCCTCATCTCCAGCTTTCCCTTTCTCCCAAGCCCCGGCCAAGATTGCCAAAAGTTCCCCAAACAGCTCCATCAGCCCCCCACCCAACCACCCTTCACAGGTTTCTGTGTCCTACCCTTCCAAGGCAGGAATCGCCCTGTCTTCCCAGAATGTCCAGGGAAAAGAGACCAAGAAACGATCACCCAAACTTTTTTTTTTT